TAGGACCAGCGACTAGTCGACGTCAAGCTTAAAGCGTCATGGCAGAGCATTAAAGTCGATTAGTTGGTGCAACCCTTACTGTGATAATTACAATGCAGTTTAAATGATGACAGAATGCACGTAACTAAGCAACAGAGCGTTCGTTAAAGACGCAGTTATGACGAAGTAGTCTGTGTAATAAACAATATAGTAGTTTTTTTTTGTTTACCCAAAAATTTGTTTTAAACATATAATTATAAAAATAATAATAGTAATAATAATAATGTATTTAATTATTATTATTATTATTAATAATTTTATTTATTTATAATTCATTTATAATATTCATCTAAGCAACAGAGCGTTCGTTAAAGACGCAGTTATGACGAAGTAGTCTGTGCCAAAGCTTGCCTACTATTCTGCTACATACTCAAAAGTATGTACTTTTTCTTCACAAATAGAGTACTTACTTTTAGGGCATAGTATAAGTAGGCGAATTGGGACGCAGCAAATGTCTCGATAATAACTGATTAGCTGAAGTTGTTCATGGGTAAAATCAGAGCTTCTGCAGTATGATTAACTCATGATTGATTGATTTATTTCTTTATAGGTTGAATCAGTATTCATTCTCAAGGCCTGTCATGGCAAAATCAGCACAAAATAACAAATTTTATGTTGCATAGAGATGATTAAATTTGGTTTATTTTTATTATTTTCATTATTTTTATGACACTTAAGTAGTGTTATTTTAGTATTGTTTAAATACTATTGTAGTATTTAAGAATAGTATAATTAAATGCTATAATAAGTAATTATATAGTATCATAGTATTTAATTTGCTTTTGTTTTTTGGATTTTAGTTTTAAGTTTTATTTTCAATTTAGTGTAATATTTAATATATATATTTTAATACTTCTATTGTTATATTAGCATTGTTTATATACTATTATAGTATTTAAGAATTGTGTATTTATTCATAATGAATTTATAATAATATTACTTTTTTTAAATCTGTATTATTAAATAATAATAATAACAAATGTATTTATTCATAATGAATTTATAATAATATTACTTTTTTTAAATCTGTATTATTAAATAATAATAATAACAAATGTATTTATTCATAATGAATTTATAATAATATTATTAATTTATATGTTGTTTTAAATCCTTATTATTTATTAATATTAATAATAACAATGTTATATTTGTTTTATATTTCTTTTTTTATTTTATTTGTTCAGCCAAAACTGTTGAGCTTCATGTATGCCACAGGGATCACAGTGTAAGTGTCACAGCCGTAGTCAGCATGTGTTTGTGCCGCAGGTTTGATTGACGGCTACACCGGCGAGCGTCTGGCGCTGGAGCAGCAGATCGGTGAGCGCGCCGAGCTGCAGCTGCATCTGGAGCAGGAGCTGTGTGTGACCGCTAGCCGTCTGCGTGAACTCGAGCAGGAGCGCCAGCAGATTCACCACGAGCACGAGCTGCTGTCGCGCCAGCAGGACGCCATGAGAGAAGGGGCGGGGCCTCGAGAGCTGCGTATGTCACATGACTCACACTCACTGCCATTCCATTGGTTTACATTTCAGAGAAACAATTGCTGCGTCCCAATTCGCATACTGTCTGTCCTAAATAGTACTCTAAAATAGAATTAGTATGTCCCAAAGCATAATATGTTGATTCCAAAGATTGCCGGATGGTCTACTAGAGATTAAAATTCGAAGTGCAGATCAATGGCTAATATTACCCACAACACATTGCGCGGTGGACCAGGATTCGATTAGAACTACAAACACGCATAAAAAGTGTTTAAAAACTATGCATTTATTTGTAATTTTAGTTTCAATTTAGTGTAATTTTTTATATATTTATTTTAATACTTCTATTGTTATATTAGCATTGTTTATATACTATTATAGTATTTAACATTTTTATATTAAATACTATAATAATCAGTAATTTTATATTAAGCTGTTTTTAGAATTTGTTTTAATATTATTTTCAATTTAGTGTAATTTTTAATATATATTTTTAATACTTCTATTTATTGTTATATTAGTATTGTTTATATACTATTATAGTATTTAAGAATTGTATACTAAATAATATAATAAGTAATTATATACTATGATAGTGTTTCATTTAGCTGTTTTTAGAATTTGTTTTAATTTTAGTTTCAATTTAGTGTAATTTTTTATATATTTATTTTAATACTTCTATTGTTATATTAGCATTGTTTATATACTATTATAGTATTTAAGAATTGTATACTACATACTATAATAAGTAATTATATACTATGATAGTATTTAATTTAGCTGTTTTTAGAATTTTAGTTGTAATTTTAGTTTCAATTTAGTGTAATTTTTAGTATTTTTTTATACTTCGATTCAGTTTTTTTTTAGTTTTAGTTCATTTCAGTTAGTTTTTGGAAACGGAGCGTAAATGTGGAAGTCCTTCAAAGATTTCTTATCCTGTAGCGCCCTCTATAGGACCAGCGACTAGTCTACAAACATCTCGCTCGCACGCACACTCACTCACACACACACTCACATGCACTCACTCACTCACTCTCACACACACACTCACTCACTCACTCACTCACTCACTCACTCACTCTCACACGCACACACACACACACACACACACACACAGCTGCGGATCGTGTCCGTCTTCATGTTTCTGTCTTCTTTCCTCTTGTATTTGCATGATGAATCTGTTGTTTTCACTCTCTTTCCTCAGGACTAGTTGAGGCTGCTCTTGACGCAGCACCTGAAGCAGGTGTGTGTGTGTGTGAGTGTGTGTGTTCACGAGCGGCATGGCCGGCACGATATGTATCACGGTCTCTGATTGATTGATTGACAGGCACGCGCTGATCAATAACAGAGCTTTGCTTGCTTTTGGCTCCACTGATGGACTAACCACTGCTTGAGCTCATTAACATCACATCACATGATATCTGCTGGAAACACACGCTAGCATGGGTTAACCGCGGCTAGCTGCTATTGAACAGCCGTCTCAGCATCAGCCTACAACAGCTTATGTGCTGGACTGGGCTTCAGGACTGTGGTATCTCACCTGGAATTTTCAAAAAAGTTAATACATAATACTTTTAATGTGTAATATATAATAATAAACAATAAATAGGGTTAATACAGTAAACTACAACTAACGCAATTAAAAGTTACTTATTGTTATTTTCTGTTTTTTTTTATTACCAATGATATACTATTATAGTTTTTGTTAAAATTTCGAAGTAGATTTTATAAAAAAAAAATTAAATTCAATGAACTGAACTGAACTGAAATAAAATAAAATATAAAAAATGTAACTTCATTTTATTTCAGCTAGTTGCCAAAGTAACATTTCTGTTCTTTTTTTAGTTTAATAAAATAAAATAAATTATTAACTGAAATAAAATATATACAAATAAACTTTTTATTTCTAGTTGCCAAGGCAACAATTCTCATTTTGTTTGGCTTGATAAAATAAAATTAAAAAAAAAAACATTAAATGCATACAATTAGTAAATCTATATAGACTTATAAAAAAATAATGAAATTGACAAAACACACAACTTTAACTAAAATTAAATTGGAAACAAAATATAAAAATAAAATCTAAAAAGTAATATATTGATAATAAAATAACAGTGACAATAATAATAGTAGTAGTAATAATAATAAAAGTAATATATTTTTAAAAAGTACTTTCTTAAGCTCAGAGTTTGCTATACAGAGACATATTGACATAAAAAGATAACACATTGTATGTGAATGCTAAAAATTGTAATGGTAAATATTTGATCATTTTCAGTGAGGATTTTAATTGTGCCAATGCCTTATTTAACTCAATTTACTTCATTAAATGTAAGAGAAACTGTGTCTGAACTAGACTGTGGTTTGTCCTCTGCTGGTGGCTGTTCAATAAGACACGGGTTTATTTTTCCTTTCCTTTCTGTTTTGCATCTGCACTTTAACCCCTCCCCCTCCCGTGACATCACAGGCTCCGCCCCTCGTCCTCTCCTGCACTGTGGGTTGGTTCGGTGGTTGCTGACGGGATCATGTGATCATGGATCGTACAGGAATGGGAAGGATTGTGGGAAATGGGAAATCTGTCTCGTCGATGTGCCGTATGCAGCCGGAGACAAAAGTGGAGAACAGCAGAGAACATTTACAAAAACATGTCGTGATCATCACAAAATCAAAAGAACAAAAGAAATTACATTTTGCATAAAGAAAATTAAATATATACTATACTGTTTATATACTATTATAGTATTTTTGTTTTTATATTTTCAATTTTCATTGCAAATTTAGTTTAAATTTGAGTATTTTTATTAGTTTTTAGCTTTAGTTTATTTTTATTTCAGTTTTGGTAAGTTTAGTATTTCAAGTTAAACTTGTTTTATTTTGGAAAAGTTGCCAAGGGAACATTAAGTTTTATCTAATGTTTATATTTTATATTTTTTTGTTTCAGCTTGTTTTTATATGTAAATTTTTAATTTTAATTTTAGTTTAAATTTCAGTAGGAGCTTGCCATTTTACATTTTTTATATTTATATTTAATTTATTTGTAGTTTTAGTAATTTCAGTACTTTAATTTAATTCAGTTGCTTGTCAAGGCAACATTTATAATGAACGTTAAAGTTTTTCATCTAATATTTATATTTAATTTCAGCTTTATTTCAATTAGCGAAAACAACTTTTAATAGTTTTAGCTGTAGTTTTAGTTAACAATAACAAAATGTATTTGTATTTTTGAAAATGTCAGGAAAATTAAGCACATTTTCCTCAAAAAATGTTCAGTTATACCAAAATGTGATTTCCTCTTTATTTCTTTTGGTTTTGTGAGATTCATTCAAGAATTCATGAGATTCCTTTTACCGAGCAGTTTATTTCCTATAAATTAAGTTTGCAATTTGCAGTTTATTAAAGTCCATCAAGACTACAGCAGCAGCTTATAATGCGCTGAGAACATAATCTTTCTTTAAAGTTGAGATTTAATTCGTTTTTGACAGTCTTTGACATTGTGAATGAGTCTCTGAAGCTGCTCCATGTTTTGTCATCCGCCGAGCATCAGTCCTGGCGTGGGCTCTGCTAACGAGCGTCTGGCTGTCCTCAGACCTGCTGGAGGAGACGGAGAAGCTGATGGCGGAGAAGGTGGAGGTGCAGCGTCAGGCGCAGAAGGAGAGCGGCGAGCTGCTGAAGCAGGTGAAGCAGCTGGAGGCGGAGCTGGAGGAGCAGGTGAGCCGTCTGCAGGAGCTGCAGGAGATGCACAGCGCCGAGACGGCAGACCTGCGGCAGCAGATACAGGCCTTAGAGAAGCAGCTGGAGAAGAACCGCAAGTTCATGGACGTGAGTCACTTCAGTATGCTGCTTCTTCCTCTGAGTTCAGATCTCGCAGTTCTGAGTTCGTATCTCGCAGTTCTGAGTTCGTATCCCGCAGTTCTGAGTTCGTATCCCGCAGTTCTGAGTTCGTATCCCGCAGTTCTGAGTTCGTATCCCGCAGTTCTGAGTTCGTATCCCGCAGTTCTGAGTTCGCAGCTGAGACTGCTGACCTGCGGCAGCAGATACAGGCCTTAGAGAAGCAGCTGGAGAAGAACCGCAAGTTCATGGACGTGAGTCACTTCAGTATGCTGCTTCTTCCTCTGAGTTCAGATCTCGCAGTTCTGAGTTCGTATCTCGCAGTTCTGAGTTAGCTTTTGTTTTTATATTTTCAATTTTCATTGCAAATTTAGTTTAAATTTGAGTATTTTTATTAGTTTTTAGCTTTAGTTTATTTTTATTTCAGTTTTGGTAAGTTTAGTATTTCAAGTTAAACTTGTTTTATTTTGGAAAAGTTGCCAAGGGAACATTAAGTTTTATCTAATGTTTATATTTTATATTTTTTTGTTTCAGCTTGTTTTTATATGTAAATTTTTAATTTTAATTTTAGTTTAAATTTCAGTAGGAGCTTGCCATTTTACATTTTTTATATTTATATTTAATTTATTTGTAGTTTTAGTAATTTCAGTACTTTAACTTAATTCAGTTGCTTGTCAAGGCAACATTTATAATGAATGTTAAAGTTTTTCATGTAATATTTATATTTAATTTCAGCTTTATTTCAATTAGCGAAAACAACTTTTAATAGTTTTAGCTGTAGTTTTAGTTAACAATAACAACAAAATGTATTTGTATTTTTGAAAATGTCAGGAAAATTAAGCGCATTTTCCTCAAAAAAATGTTCTACCAAAATGTGATTTCCTCTGTTTCTTTTGGTTTTGTGGTTAAAATGATCTAAACATGTTGTTGAGAAAATTCATGAGATTCCTTTTACCGAGCAGTTTATTTTTCTATAAATTAACTTTGCAATTTGCAGTTTATTAAAGTCCATCAAGACTACAGCAGCAGCTCTGAGTTCGTATCTCACAGTTCTGAGTTCGTATCCCGCAGTTCTGAGTTCGTATCTCGCAGTTCTGAGTTCGTATCCCGCAGTTCTGAGTTCGTATCTCGCAGTTCTGAGTTCGTGTCCCGCAGTTCTGTGTTCGTGTCTCGCAGTTCTGAGTTCGTGTCTCGCAGTTCTGAGTTCGTGTCCCGCAGTTCTGAGTTTGTGTCCCGCAGTTCTGAGTTCGTATCTCGCAGTTCTGAGTTCGTATCCCGCAGTTCTGAGTTCGTATCCCGCAGTTCTGAGTTCGTATCCCGCAGTTCTGAGTTCGCATCCCGCAGTTCTGAGTTCGTATCTGAGTTTATTTTGCGCAATTCTATTTTTCTTGCAGTTCTGAGTTTGTTGTGTAATTCTGACTTTTTCTCATAATTTCATAATAAATTTCATAACTTTTTTTCTCAATTCTTACGTTTACATTTATATTTAGTTATTTAGCAGACGCTTTCATTCAAAGCGACTTACAATTCTGACTTTTTTTTGCAGTTCTGAGTTTATTTCTCACAATTTTGACTTCTTTTCTCAGTCTGAATTGTGAAATGTAAACTCAGAATTGTGGGGGGAAAAATGTCTGAATTGTGAGATAAAAAGTCAATAAGATGAGTCGCAATTACCTTTTTAATTTTTAATTGTTTTTTTTTTATTCCATAGCGGAAATAAGCTTCCATAATGATGTGATGAAAGCAATTAGCGATTAATTGCTTCTCTTCCACGTTCATTTAATGTTTTTTTCCTAACCAGCAATCGCAAAACCCACATCAGTCAGACAGTATTATATTTGAACACATGAAGCTCAGCAGATGTTTTTGTGTGGTTTAGCGTGGTAGCATGCTAAGCGTGTCACATGGTCCGAGTGTTTCTGTCCTTCTGTCCATCAGGAGCAGGCAGCGGACAGGGAACACGAGCGAGACGTCTTTCAGCAGGAGATTCACAACCTGGAGCAGCAGCTGAAGAATCCCGCCAAAACACAGACAGGAAGTGACCGGCGGGACAGAGAGGTACGACACGAGATCGCTCGGCTAGTTTCACTCTCGCCTCTGTCTTCAGACACAGAGCTCGAGATCGAGTCTTATACCAGCTCAGTGTATTGATTTACACACACAACAAATCTTAATACCAGCAAGAGTGTTCAAAAGTGTGACCCTGGACCACAAAACCAGTCATAAGGGTCAATTTTTTTAAATTGAGATTTATGCATAAATTTATGTATTTATGCAAAAAAATTAAAATATTGAGAAAATCGCCTTTAAAGTTGTCCAAATGAAGTTCTTAGCAATGCATATTACTAATCAAACATTAAGTTTTGATATATTTACGGTAGGAAATTTACAAAATATCTTCATAGAACATGATCTTTACTTAATATCCTAATGATTTTTGGCATAAAAGAAAAATGTATAATTTTGACCCATACAATGTATTGTTGGCTATTGCTACAAATATACCCCAGCGACTTAACACTGCTTTTGTGCTCCAGGGTCACAAATACTCATGAAATGTAGTTCGTAACCCATTTTAATTCCATAATACCACATATTTCTGAGTTTGGTGACCGATAGATGAACTCTCTGCCTGACCTCATCTCTGAATTAAAGTAACACAAATTTTAAAGCTGCATGTTTACAGCATTGCAGGAAAGTGGAGTAGAATTGTATAGTTTCTAAAACGTTATCAGAAATGTAAAGAAAAATGTGTGTGTGTGTATATAGATAGATAGATAGATAGATATTAGGGCTGCACTCGACTAAAGATTTTTCTGGTCGACTAGTAGTCATTCATTTTAAGCATTAGTTGACTAATTGCACAAGCCTTTAATTGCCTACATAGCCTAATAAGCGCTTAAGCACACACATAAAGCTTGCCACAGCGCACCGCAGAAGTAATAATAATGAATGTGTCAGTGAACATTAACATTTTAATAATTTGATAAACTAGTGCTTTCTTTGTTCTCGGTTTAAGAGATGAAGTCGGCGACACTGACTCGTCATCTCTGCTGCGCCTGTATGCATGTTTCACACGGATTACATAATCTCAGAATTTGTTTTCCATTTGAATTGGTTAATTTGAAAGTAGACATTTCACTCTCTATAGATATATTTCTAATGTCTGTAAGGCAAAGATATGCACAAAGTTTCGCGCTCAAGTTCACAGAGACCGAGACGGCAGAAAGCAAGCGCATCCTGTTTGCTTTCATTATTTTACAAAAGCGCAATGTTTTGTTGTTATTGTGAGTGCACACAAATAAACGCAGAGTCTTTACAGATTCGAAAGATGTATTACTCTTATCAGTATGAATAAAAATGAGGGATTATTTTAAGAGCAAGTGAGTGCTCCTGCGCCTCCATGTGTCTGCAGTGAATCACTACGGTTCAGCTCCACACTTGAATAGCACACATTTCTCTAGGTTAACATCAGATTGTCATGTAAAGTTGCTACTAACATATTTCAGATGATAAGCCATATTTGAGGTCGATGAATGATAGTCGAGTGTTTGGATGTCCTGCCCGTCGATGTACTGTATTACCACATAGACCAGCCGTTAACGATCTGTCCGTCACGGACTGCGTGACTTCACCTGTGGATTTTTTTTTTCTGCGACTAATAAAATTTTGGTCAACCAAGCCTCTCCTGGTCGACTAACGGTTAGTCGACTATTAGGGAGCAGCCCTAATAGATATAGAGAGAGAGAGATAGATGGATATTTTATATATATAAATAATAATGTATCATATCTATTGTGTATACATATATACACTATTAGACAGTTTTGTATAATAAATAAATAAAAGAAAAAATAATATAAATAAATAAAACTATATGTGTCTCTCTCTCTCTCTCTCTCTCTCACTCACTCACTCACACACACTCTCACACGGGTCTGACGTGTGTCTCAGGTGCAGGAGCTGAGCGCGGCGCTGCAGGAGAAGGCAGACTGGTGCAGTGAGATGCTGCTGAGCTCGGAGCAGCTGCAGAGAGATGTGTGTGAGAGAGACGAGGAGATCGAGACGCTGGGAGCACGCCTGAGGGAGCTGGAGCACACGCTCATGCACAGGGTCAGTGTGTGTTTCTGCTCGTGACGCAGAGCTAATGCTGCTCGCTGAGAGAGAGCGTGTGTGTGAGAGAGAGAGAGAGAGAGAGAGAGAGTGTGTGTGTGTGTGTGTGAATGTGTGTGTGAGAAAGTGAGAGAGTGTGTGTGAGTCGCTGCCTGGCAACTGACTGTAATTCTGCTCATGTGTCTTTATTACTGCACATGCTGACGCTGATAAACATCCCTTAAGGCGTGTTATTTACTGACTGGAAGCAATTTTAACATCAGACTGCAGCACAATATTAGACAGAACTACAAGGGATCATTTTATTTATAAATATTAGATTGCAGTA